TTGAAGAGCAGCACACAAGAGAAAATGCTTTGTTGTCACTGCTCCACATGACACGGACCCAGTCTGTCTTTGGCAAGAATAATATATATAAAGAAAGATGCCTGCAGCAAGAACACAAAATGCATAGTTCTTTTCTGAAGTGCTTTTTCAAGCTGGTCAACCATTTTCTGCATTCCATATGACTTCGGTGCATTGTTGTTTTTGTTCTTCTTCTGAATTGACAGGCTGCCAGCAGAGATAGCGCAGCAAAGAGAAAGAACCAGAAAAAAGAAAGCTCTCTGAAGTGAGTGTCTTGCGTCACTTTTTGTTATACAAAAAATGATATGGGCACATTGCCAGGGAGTAACCAACCAAAGTTCAGGCCCGCTTGCAACGTGACACACCATGTTTGAGGGAGCATGCCCTTGAGTAGGGAATCCTAAACTCCCCTCACCCTACCCCTGTCCCAGTAGACGCGTTGACAGATCTAGGGAGGAACATGTCCACGCACGCTGGGGTCAACTTTCATTGCTGAGTGGACATATGTAGGGGTGACCGCCGCACAGCGACACGCAGGTGTGCACTGGTGGGAATGCCTCGGTCGTGCGCCGCGGACCCGCCTCAGGACCCAGGAAAAGTGTGCTGTCCCAAGAGGTCCGCGCGAAGTCAGCGCTGGCCTCCATTTTCTTCTGAATCGGGGTTTGGGCGGCCATGGTGCAGAGTGCAAACCGAATGAGAGGGGAGTCGCGTGAATGCAAACAGATGGCTGCAGAAACACAGGAAGAATCGCCCGAAAGAGACCGGAAAAAGCAAATCCGGTATACTGTCGGTCTGCGGAAACCAGATTGAATTAGAGAGTCACAGCCGAATTACGCGTCTGTGCCGTCTGAACTGTCCCTGATCGCAGCCAGCAGCACCTCACGCATGCTCTCGTCGACGCGCCACCTGCTGCAGGGGGAACCAGCGAAGCAACACCGAGACGCGGTCGCGCGAATCGACGCGTGCTGGTGCCTGCCAGTTTCGCTCGTTCAATGCCCGCAGCAAAAGCACTTCGAATGTGGCGGGGCTGCAGTACCGCAAGGAGCGGTCAAGACGGCTCAGATCCCGCCATTGCCGCTCTTTGAGGGAGGTGTCCACTGGTCACTGGCCTGTGCATTGCAGAGGCAGCGCCCCGCGCCCGCGCCCCCCGACCCCAGGCCGACGCCGCGCCTGCGCAACAAAATCTGCAGCGGAAATTGGGTCACGGCGGCCAAGTGGGATCGCAAAAAGTTCTGTGGGAAACCGCCGACAATGGCACCGGTGTAGGAGAAGCGACGCCCACAACCTGGAAGCCAGCGTCCACATCCCAGCCAGACCCACGAAGAGGTTGTTGCAGTTCCACGGACAAGCGTCGTAACGCCTCCACCACCCGCGTGCGGCCACCTTCGGATCGCACGCGCGGATCGCGGAGCACGCGACCTGCGGGTTGAGGGCTGAGAAAGGTCAGGACCAAAGGTAGAGAGTACGTCGGCAACGCACGGTTGGCCGCGCGGACCCCCAGATGCATCCGGACCAGGAATGCAGTTCCCAGCGCTGGCGGCCATGAACCAAGCTAGCCACAAGCCCCTGCAAAGTCGCCGACGAAAAAAATGTATGCTCTTCCCAGTCGTGCATGACCTTCTAGCGATCCGGGCTGTAGGTTGACCAGCACTGTGGGCGGCGATGCCCACGCGCGTGCCAACGATCCACATACCCCTGCAAGCGCGCAGCAGCCACGCTCCCATAGGACCGCAAATGCGGCGCCAAATGGCACACCAGTCATCGTATAGCCAATGGTGTGCAGGGCTGGATTGATTCGCAGCAGGTGCTCCACGTATAGGCTGCTATTTGCGGCAAAAATTCAGCCACATGGAAGTGCTGGGGAAGCATGACAATGCCACAGCCGAAGGTCGCACAAAGGATGCCGCCACGCTGGTAGGCGCGGACGCTGCGGGCTTTGCAGGTGTTGCAGTCATCCGCCTCTGGCGCCCACACTTGTGCAGGCGGAGTCCGCGCTGCACGCGGCTGCCACCAAGGTGTGTGTGTATTCCTCTGGACAAAAATACGACAACGAACTAAAGGCGACGAAAGAAAGCCGCACCTCTGCCGCCGGCGGTCGCGCAAGCGGGCAGCATGAACCTGCAGCAAATGCTCCTCCTGCGCACGATGCTCTGCAATGCCGCAGGTGATGTGCCCGCGGCGCGGGGCCCGCAAACAGAAGGCGGTGCGCCCATCGAGACCGCGTTCGGCGAAGCAGCACCCATGCGGGACGAGCTTCTCATTAAATCCAGCGGAATGCTAGAGGCGCAAGCAGGACCACACCAGGCAGGATGCGTAGTCACCCAACGGTCCTCGAACGCTTGCCGCAGCACGGGGAACAGCTGCTGGCAAGCGAGCTGTAGCGCCAGGCTGCGATCCACGGCGCGGCCACTGAGCCGCAGCCGCACGGCCGAAGGAGCTCCAAAGAAGCCAGCCATCCAAGCCGTATCCAGCAGTGATTCCACCACCGCAAAATGGAGATACACCGCGAAGAAAGGCGAGCGCCGCACTGCAGATCCGCCCCCGCCGAACACGGCGTTGCGGCAGAGCAGGAAATCGCGCCCGCTGATACCCCCAATGAGGAACAAGCCATCAAACCACTCGAGCAAGTTCCGATGGAGCCAAACGCTTTGCGTCAATGGATACAGCAGCGGGCGCGGCGCCGCAACGTCACCCGGCAGCACACGACCCCAACCACGCGCATCACGGCAAAACCATGGATACACTTGCACGCCGAAAAAAAAAGCAGCGTAAGGCCCGCAGCTGCATCGCCGTGGTTTCATTCATGTAGGTGCGCGACTTCGATTTGCTGTACCGGCGGTGGCCGCAACTCCGCCGCACTGGAAGGGCAAACGTCCAAGTTAGACGCCCACAAGGCATCCGCTTCCATGGCAGCACGGCGCGCGAAGCCGCAAACGTAGGAGCCAAAAGCCGCTAGAAGGATGCGTTGCGCGCCAGGTCATGCCGGGCCACATCCTGCGCGGGACCGGCGCCGGCTTCCAGTCTCCTGCCCGCTAAATCCTGCAGGGCATTCATAGTTCTGGCGCCTGTGCGGAAGTCCACGCGAAAGTGTCGGAGAGAGGGAGACGAACGGACGGGGCAGGGAAGGGACGGAGCGGTCACGGGGACTTTGGCCACCCGAAAGAGCCGGATTGATCATTTCCGGGAAAGGTAGTAGGCGCGGCAGAAAGATAGAGGTAGGCTAGCTTCTGTGCCTACGGCCACTCCAATTTGGGGCGCACGAATCGTCGACGTTTCGCGCGCCCCTCACCGAGGTGCTGCTCTGCTGCTTTCCTCCCCCCGTCTGTCCCTTTTCGTGGTGCCCATGCCCTTGCGTGATGGAGCAGGAACGCGCAGGACAGGCAGCGACAGGGCGGAAGAGGAAGGAAGGGGGGAGGGTGAGGGAGACAGGCGAAAGGGAGCGGGAGGAAGACAGAGGTCGGCGAGCTCTACTGTGCCTACGGCCACTCCACTTTCGGGGGGGCGCTCGAATGGTCGACGTTTCATGGGCCCCTCACGGTGGTGCTGCTCTGCTGCTTTCTCTCCCTTTTCGTAGCGCCGGTGCCCTTGCTTGATCGCTGGTATTCGGGGTCAGTCGTTGCGTGCCAGATCCTGCCGGGGCGCATCCGGCAGGAAGGGGAGAGGGGGAGGCAGGTGGAGGGGGGGCAGAGAGAGGAAAGCGCCCCTATGAGGCATTAGCCGAGGACAGCCCCTATGGCTAGCCTAGGCATAGGCCTATCCGGCCTTGGCTACCGGCATAGGCCTAGGATAGGCCTATGATAGCGGGCATAGGCCTAGGATAGGCCTATGGATAGCCTAGGCATAGGCCTAGGATAGGCCTATGGATAGCCTAGGCATAGGCCTAGGATAGGCCTATGGCTAGCCTAGGCATAGGCCTAGGATAGGCCTATGGCTAGCCTAGGCAAGGCATAGGCCTATCCTAGGCCTATGGCTACCCTAGGCATAGGCCTAGGATAGGCCTATGGATAGCGCTAGGCATAGGCCTAGGATAGGCCTATGGATAGCCTAGGCATAGGCCTATCCTAGACCTATGGCTAGCCTAGGCATAGGCCTAGGATAGGCCTATGGATAGCCTAGGCATAGGCCTAGGATAGGCCTGTGGATAGCCTAGGCATAGGCCTAGGATAGGCCTATGGATAGCCTAGG